TGTCCTGCCGCAGGCTACGATTAGCACGTGTCACCACGAAGCTGAGACGAGGTGAGGGAGAGGGTGAAGGAGACGAAGTGAGAGAGGAGGGGCTAAAGGAAGGAGGAGGAGGGTAAAGGAGAGGAGGAAGAGGAGGAGGGGTATAGGAGACCGAGGTGAAGTGAGGAGGGTTACTGGAGAGTGAGGAGAGGGGGAGGGTAAGGAGAGGGGTGAGGGGATGTGGGCTAAGGAGAGGAAGAGTGGGGAGGTGGTAAAGGGGAGAGATGTAGTCGGGAGAGGGTAGAGAGAAAGTGAGGGAGGAGGGGTAAATGAGACGAGGTGGGAGGGAGGAGGGTTATGGAGAGGCAAGGGGGGAGGAGGGTAAAGGAGAGGAGGTGAGGGAGGAGGGGTAAAGGAGAGGAGGGAGTGAGGAGGGTAAAGGAGAAGCAGGAGGAGAGGGAGGTGGGTAAAGAAGAGAGGAGTGGACAGGTGGGTAAACGGAGAGGAGGAGCGTGGGGGGGGTAAGGAGAGGAGGACGAGGGAGGTGGGTCAGGAAGAGGAGGAAGTGGGAGGTGGGAAAAGAAGAAGGAGGTGAGGGAAGAGGGGTAAAGGAGAGGAGATGAGGGAGGAGGGTTATGGACGAAGGAGGAGAGTTGGAGGAGGTAAAGGAGAGAGGTGAGGGAGGAGGGTAAAGGAGCAGGAGGAGTCGGGAGGTGGGTAACAGAGAGGAGTGGGAGTGGTAAAGAGAGGAGGAACGGAGGAGGGTAAAGGAGAAAGGAGGTGAGCGGAGGAGGGCTAAATTAGAGGAGGACGTGGGGGGTGGGGAAATCGAGAGGAGGAAGGGAGGAGGGTAATAGGAGAGGAGATGGGAGGTGGGTAAATGGATAGGAGAGTGGGATGAGTGGGTAAAGGAAGAGGAGGTGAGGGGAGGAGGGTAATAGGAGAGGAGGAAGTGGGAGGTGGGTAACGTGAGAGGAGTGGGGGGCGAGCCAGGGTAAAGAGCAGGAGGAGTGGGAGGAGGGTAAAGGAGAGGGTGAGGGAGAGAGGGTAAAGGAGAAGGAGCGAGTGGGAGGTGGTAAAGGAGAGGCGAGGGAGGAGGGTAACGTGAGAGAGTGGGGAGGAGGGTAAAGGAGAGGAGGAGTGGGAGATGGGTAAAGGAGAGGAGGAGTGGGAGGTGGGTAACGGAGAGGCGGAAGCTGGGAGGAGGGTACCAGCGATGAGGAGGTGAGGGATCTGGGTGAAAGGAGAGGCGGAGTGGGAGGTGGGTAAGGAGAGGAGTGCGGAGGAGGGTAAAGGAGAGGAGGAGAGGGGAGGGGTAAATGAGAAGACGGAAGGGTGGGAGGAGGTGAAGAGAGGAGGATGGCGAAGGTGGTAAGGAGACGGGAGGAGTGGGGAGGAGGGGTAAAGGAGAGGAGTGGCGAGGAGGGTAAGATAGAGGAGGAGCTGGAGAGGGTAAAGAGAAGAGGAGAGAGCTGCCCGGAGGTGGTTAAAGGAAAGGAGGAAAGGAGGAGAAGAAGGTAAGAGGCGTGGAGAAGTGGAGAAAGGTGGATGAGGGAGAGGTGAGCGGGGGAAAAGTGGAAACCGGGCGGAAAGCTTGGCGAGGAAGACAGGTAAGGAACGGGAAGAAGGAGACGAGAGAGAGGAGACAGGAGGGGGGAAGCCGAGGAGGAAGAAGGAGGAGGAGGAGGAGAGAGAACAAGCGAGAACTAAAAGAGAACAGGTCAGCGAGAAAGAAGAAGGAAAGAGAGACGGAGAACGCCAGAAATACACGCGAGAGAAAGAAGAGCCTGCGGGTGGGTCGATGGGCTAAGTGATACTCCATAATAGGTAGGAAGAAAGTTAGCTTATGGATATAATATCTGATAATGATCGCCTCTATTACGTTATAATGCGTATAACTAACTCGGTAAAATCTCACGGCATTACATTCACAATACGAACACGTTTACGAGTGGGTCGCATATGGGAATCCAGGCTGTTGTTTATCTGCGTGTATCGGAAGACACGGTCTACTGATCTCTATAATTATATTAACGTTAGTATATAGGGATCAGTGATCGGAGATTGCTAGGCTTACCTCCGATAGGGGTCGTGTTGTCGGTATCTCTGGCGCTGGATAAACGATGGTTGGCATAGCTAGCACGTCATACTTCTCTAGGGCCGCGTTGTAGCTAGCTATCACTGTTATACATACCCATACGTATATGCATATATATATATATATATATATGCATATATATATATATATATAATTATATGTTTAAATATTATCTCACGACTCACATACTTATTTCAGCCAAACGCAAAATGTTTTTTGAAAATTTGACTAAAGCGCGAGCCTGGAGAGACCACTCGTTGTTTCTTTGTAGCCAGGAGTGCGCGGATACTTGACTTCCGGTATGGGTTCCGTCATGGCCGCCAAGCTCTTGAACGCCCGTAAAACTTCGACCATTTTCTCTGCAACATAAAGATTCTGATGAAACTCCACACAAATCAATGTTTATGATGTTTATCAAGAGTCCATAATAAAGACTATTATGGACTCTTGTTACATATGTATAACCATACGCGCCCATCACTCATTTTTCTTGTGACGCAATTTGAAAGCCATAGGCCAACTATCAAGATTCAAATCACTAACACCTTTTAAGAATTTTGGGAATAATTCAATTGTTGTTTAGAAAAGTTTACCAACATAATTAATATTTTCAGTGATATCCTCAAACGTGGAATATAGCAACTATATATAATCGAAGGCTAATGATATAGGATATAGTGCATTGCTTTAAGATATAAATTCATCTACTTGATCATAGAATGGTCAATGAATCAACAATAAGATGTATCAGATAGGGCTATAGCTAGCGGGGGAGGGGGGGCAGAGAAATATAGATACATTAAATGGTCAATGGCGGTGACCTTCCCAGAACACACCACGCACGTGGCTTTGCCCCCAGGCATAATGGGTTAGCTGAGCTCCCGTCAGTGATATGTAAGAATTCATGAGTGTCAGTTTTTACCTTTATACACCTCCAGTTCCTCGTCATTGCAGTCTAATCCGTACTGCAGGGAGATGTGCTGGAGTCGTGACATAGACGGGGCGTTCACACCCCTCACACCCACTGGCATGGCTGCATAAAATATGAAATATCATGAATAGATCTCTAATTCTACCCATACAGTTCTGCGAATACTGCCACTAACTCTATTCGCAGGGTTATATATGCCCACCTGTACATATATAGTGTTACATTGAAGAACTGGGCCATGCCCTAACCCTACATCAATATTTCATGCTGCACTCTCCCTATACCATGCATGCCCTATGCAGATGGCGCTGCCGACAGCTACCCGGGTCGGCAGCAGATGAGTCCAGCGAATCACGCGGAGCGGATGCAGCAGCTTCGTGCTGAGCATCAGCGTCGCCATGCCGACCGCGCAAACGTCTACCCCGGCGACGCGCCGCCGCAGCACGACGCGCGCGGTCGCCGCGACGACGACTACACGGTACGGAGGCTGCGCACGAGGCGAACACGGCCACACCTGTCTATTAAGGACACTCGTGGCGTTTCCATTGAGTGTCAGTTTAGCAGTGAAACCACATCTATAGAATCAATTCTTGTCTATCATTATGATTATTATTACTATTATTATTATTATTATTATTATTATTATTATTATTATTATTATTATTATTATATTACCATTATTATTGTCTATAAAGGACAATTTTGGCACATATCTTGAGTACGACTTACACAGTGAAACCACCTCCATAGAACGGATGCCTGTCTTCAGTGACAGTGCATTGGTGAGTCGCCAGGGAAGTTGAAGGCCAGTGCCTTCAGTGACCCTTACAAACAGATTTGACTGTATAAGGTCCTTACGTCTGATGTGTGGTTTCAGCACCGGGGGGCGCCGGCGTACCGTAGTGAGCGGGGCATGTCGCGGCACGTCCACCGGCAGGGTGATGGTCACGCGATGGACGCTGCGGGCCGGCCGGTGGACGCCGCGCACAGATACCGACTCAACTCCGACTATGGAGACCTGGGGCCGCCGCGCTACCAGCAGCATCGCGCCTCCAGCAAGCCTGCGTACGCAGAGTAAGCACCACCACCGCCACCTGGTGTTGTATATCCTAACTATAACTCGCATTGCTTTACCATTTTACCACGAATTAAGCTTCGTTACTGCTACTACTTACTGCCTAGCAGTATGTTTAATTTTTACATGCATGCACGCACACTTAGTGAAAGTATTTACATACATGCACCCATGCACGCACACACGCATGCACGCACGCATGAATGCGCACACGCACACGCACACGCACACGCACACGCACACGCACACGCACACGCACACGCACACACATATACATATACATGTATTTGTGCGTAAATATATATGTATGTATACATTATACATTATACAGTATGGATGTATATATATATATATATATATATATATATATA